GCGGGCGGATGGCTGGAGGGCTGCGTGTTGCGTCAGTGTGTTGGGGGCTGGATGGCTCGTGTGTGTTCGTGCGGCGGTCTTGTTCGTGGAGAGATAGACGGCTCAGTGGGCGGTGGGCGGTGGGCGGTTGATTCCATGACTGACTGACTCGTGCGATGACTTTTTCCAAGGACATACACACCACTACTCTCTCTGTGTGAAATGTGCAGGAGGATGGCCACGCGACACACACACTTAGCCAGCCACCTGTGCACTTTGCCTACTACTTGCTGCCCACTGAGGGCTCTGTTTGTTTGTCGACCTGACCTCTCGGCTGCACACTAACTGACAGACAGACAGACAGACAGACAGATAGACAGACAGCGGTTACTGGCTGGATGCACACACACGTCTTCACATCACACACATGGCATTACAGTACGCTCATCCACACACACAGACGGCCCGCCGGCTTTTGGTTCCGTTGCGGCGGTTTCTGTCCGTTTATTCCCTTCCTCCGTCACTGAGTGAGTCAGCCGGGCGGGCGGCTCTTTCTTGTGGGTGGCTGAATGTGTGTGTGCAAGCACCTGGCTCCGTCTCACACGCATCGCTGCGTCGGCCCTCGTCCGCCGCCTACTGATCCCCCCCATCTGAGCTGTGGTGTGTTCGCTACGCTACGCAGACGCACTCACTCTTGCTGACACTCATCCATCCATCCATCCGTTTGTTCTTTGCGGCTTCTCTCCGTTGCGGCACATTTGCCAGCCGTCGCTGTGCTCCATTGCCTCCGCAGGCCGTGTGTGCGGCCGTCGTGTGCGTGTCGATGACCGGCGAGCTGAGAGGTCTGGTCTCCGCCGTCTGGCCGCCGTGTGGCCGTCGCCGCGCGGCAAAGGCGTGTAAGATTTGTGTGGCGCTGTCCGTTCGTTTTGTTAGGTCGGCTGGTGCCCTGCTGCACAGACAGACAGGCATCGATAGTGTTTCTGTACTGATTGGGGTGATGGATTTGCGTGCTGCGTTGCACTGCCCTGAGTGCCCCCTCTCTCTGTGGTCTCTCTATGTGTATGTGTGTTGTGCCAGTGTACATATCCAGTCGATATGGCTCTGTGTCTGTCTGTCTGTTATCTCTGTGTCTGTCGACACGCCTCAGTGACAATGTGCTCAGCCATCCGTTTTTACTTTTTCAGACACCATCTGCCGTGTCTTTGGACACTCCCATCTGCCTCAACTGTGAGTGCCCAGCACCAAGACGCGGCCACAAGCAAGCGAACGAGTGGCCCGTCTCGCCTGTATGTGTGTGTGTTTGCAAATTGCGTGTGTGTTGACGTGTGTGTTGTGGATATTGTGGGAGAATTGACTGCCCATCTTTGCACATGTGAGTTAGTTCTGTTTGTTCTGTTTGTCTTTCTGTGACGCCAACTCACATCGTCTCACCAAACCCACACACACAGCGCGATTGCAACATCTCTACTTGTAGAGCAATATTGCCGCCGAAGGATCAAGCACACAGCATGCACCCCTACCCCCACCCCCACCCCACCTCTTTCTTTCCGTCCCGTCTGTCACCATCCCTATGACGCCCTCACGCCTCTGCCGTTGACGAAATCTTGTGGCTGACACAAGAGAGGCGATAGCAGATGGGTTGCTTCTTGTTCCATGCCGTGGGCGGCACGGTGTGCTGCTGGAGCGCCTCGACGAGGAGCAGCAGCCCCCCTTGCAGGCGATATGGAAGTCGGGCTTGCTGCCCTTCTTCCACCCACACAGTTCTCTGTATCGGGATTGAGCGCATCTGATCCACACCGGGTTGGCGCGTTCAAGTTGAGCCGCTTTCGCTGGCGGTCGCTCTGCTCACACCTCCCTCCCTTCCTCACGGCCTTCCCACGCTGAAGCTCATCTCATCAGCCTGGAGAAACAGGAGAAGACGACCGTGTGTCAATCGATTGGGATCAGTGACAAACACCTACCGACCTCCTGTAGAATCAGCGTCAGCATGCCTGTGGTAAGCAAAGCACAACGATGAGCCATGACACTGAGCTGCGTCGATGGACACAAACACAAACAAGACAACCACGCCCCCGCTGCACTGCAAAAACCACCTGCAACAGCCACCCCAGACCATCCAGACACGCAGAGCAGCATATGGTCATTGATCCTTGCCCCCCTCGCCCTTATTTGCCTTCCCTCACCTCATCAGAGCCCCTCCAGCCACCCTCGCCGCCCCAGCAGGCTCCAACGAGGCCGCGGCAGCTCGCAGTGGCGATCAGAAGTGCCCATTTACGGCACAAAGGCCGGACTTCGTTAGAAGGTCGCCCCAAGCCCCCCACTGACCCCCACAGGCGAGAAAGGCAGCGCCCGAGTAAGGAAATCGATCGGTCGTTCCGGGGGGCCGCAGTTGAGCACGATTTCACTTCATGTCACCGTAGTCGACCGCAAGAACCTCCCCATAGCTTCCAAAATGCCAAAATCGCCCAACTCAGCAACAAAGCTCGCTGGCTAAGCTCGCAGTGCTGCGTTGAGACTTTCTCCTCTCCGTTCGACGTGTACAGGCACCATGAAGGACAGACAACACTGCAGAGTGCGAAGCAAATTGCCATTGACCATTCCGATGGCTCTCTGCTGGAGAGCCCCACCACGGCCTTTGCCTCTCTGCAGAGGGTGTTCCCTGCAGCCTTATGGTCTCTAGGGCTGCTGTCTGCAGCCTACTGAGGCGCACTTTCAGACGAGGTACGGACTGACGAGCATTGGGAGTGATGTGTGTGGCGTGACTAGGAGGGAAACACTGACACACTCTCCTCTCTCCGCTGCGCCGTATGGCTGCAGGTTCCTCGCTCAGGGTGCGCCCCCGCTGCTGCAGACGGGCGCCCTCGACCACCTGAGCCTACGGCCTCCAAATTTGGCCATTTGAGGTGGTCTTTTCGGCGGCACGGCCAAGGCCACAGGGCCCTGCCGGAAAAGAGCCTCAAAAACACAACTGAATCTTCTGTAGGCCTTGCAGAGCGAGTGTAGAGGCCACTACGGTCAGACTGGCTGCCTCCGAAGCCCGCACTAGCTGAGCTGCCCTCTGCAGCGCCGTTCCCCATGTGTTTGATCCCTCGATGGAACGTTGCTGCTTTCCGCAGTGATTGTGTCCTTCACCATGTTGTGTGCTGCAGGCGAAGGCCTCGCGCGATTTGACAATGGTCTCTTTGGTGGAGGGAAAGGAGGATCGCGAAACCTCAGCTAAGCTCGCAGACGCCCCTCTCCCAAAAGATCTTCCCTCTTCTCTCTTTCTCTGTCCTCTGGTGCAGTCGACTGGTTACCCTGTGGACCACCTGAGCTGCCTCTGTCCTTGCTCGTCCCCCGTCCTCTTGCCGCCTCACCGTCGCTGTCTTCATCCCTCTCCCGCGGGGAGCGGTCTCCGTCATGGACCCCTCCCCTTCCTCCTCCTCCTCCTCCTCCCCTCCCGATCCCCCTCCCCCTCCCCCTGGTCCGTTCTGGGCGCAAGTCACGGACGGCGCCACGTTCGCCGTAGATGGCATCGAAAGCGAGCCACAGGAGGTCAAGGACATCGTGGAGTACTTAGGGCGGCACACCGAAGGGCGCGTCGGCACCTTGCTCGGCTTCACGGCCACCGAGAGCAACTTCGGCGACTGGAGTGGGGTAGTCAACGGGCGGCAGCACAATGCCACTGTCGCCCTGACGGCAGACACACCCCCCGAGCTGCTGCAGCAGAGCGTGACCCTCTTCGACAACATGAAGACGTACCAGGTGGCGGTGCGATCCAGTGCGGTGGAGCACATCTCGGGCCTCAAGACCGATTTCGGGAGAGAGAGAAAGGGGGTGCCGCTCAAGGTTGGGCCTCTCCTATCGCCGGAGCAATTGAGGGCCCTCCCCCGTGTGAGGAGCACCCTTCCGGACCACATCAAGGCTTCAGGAGACAGCTTGGGCCTGCCTAGGCCCGCCGACACCAAGGACATGGATTTCATGATCATCAATATCGAGCCCAGCAAGACTGTCTTCAGCTTCATGGACGAGGACTTCTCCAACGAGCTCGCAGGGCTGCCTACCGGCTTCCCGGTGTTCTTTCGGACGGAAATGAGAGGGTAAGTAGAGAACAAAACAGAAGACAGGATCGAACACACCCACGAGCGCACCGAATGTATGTATGTCTGTCTGTCTGTCTATCTGTCTGTCTGTCTGTCTGCCCACATGCAGGGTGTCAGATGTGTTCCAGGTCTCAGCTGCGGAGTCGCGGTACGGACCAAAAGCAGCGGGGCTCTGCGCGCTGGCGTCGGCGCGTGTGTTGCAGAAGGAACTGGAGGCCGGCAAGTCATCTGGTGCGCTCAAACCATACAAATGGGACGGGCTACACATCGACAGACATTCAGCACGGACCCGAATGCGTGTGTTTTCTTGTGTGTATTTGGTCTCAGCTCGGGCCTTATCTGGTGCGTTCATACCACCACGACCAGAGGGAGCCCCACCACCACGATCAGACAAAGCCTCAGCTCGGTCGTGCCGACCACCCGCACGCTCACACTCCCGCTCCCCGTTCATCCCCGCCCCAAGCGCCGCCCCCACAAGCCACAGCGAGAGCAGCCGCTCCGCACACACAGCAGCAGCAGGTATGTGCGCCACTGATGCCCACACAAACAACAGACATACATTCATTCACACACTCATCGGCTCATTTTGGCTCTTGTGTTTGTGTGCTGCTGTCTGTCAGTTCCGTCGGCTGGATCTACCTTCAAAGTACCACCACCACCAGCCAGACCCCCACCCGCCCCACCAGCCGGGCACCCCCCACCACCAACACCACCACACCCACAACGCCCGCTCCCACGGCTCGCACCCCTCCCCCAGTCCATCCCCGCGCCCCCACAAGCGCCGCCCCCACAAGCCACAGCGAGAGCAGCCGCTCCGCACACACAGCAGCAGCAGGTATGTGCGCCACTGATGCCCACACACACAACATACATACAAACATACATTCACACACACATCGGCTCATTTTGGCTCTTGTGTCTGTGTGCTGCTGTCTGTCAGGTCCGTCGGTTGGATCTCCCTCTCCCTCTCCCTCTCCCTCTCCCTCTCCCTCTCAGCCACCACCTCCTCTCCTCAGTCCCACCATCTCGGCCATGTTCTACTACCTCACCTACGGCATTGCCAAAGAGCGCACCCTGCACCTTCTGCTGACGGATGATTTCTGCAAGGAGATCAAGCAGGAGCTCCAGTACATCAAGACCCATGCGATGGAGTCTCACAGGGCCGGGCCAGACCACAGGCCCGGGCTGGACGCTGCGCCAGACCACAGGCTCAAGGTCCTTGATCGCGGTGAGCAAAGGGATGGATGGAGGGATGAGGGTGCCACGGCGTGAGGCGATTTGTGACTGTGATTTCTCTTTGCAGTGCTCAGCGGCGGGCCTGGCTACGCGTGTGCCTCCAATCCGACGCTGTGCGAGTACCTGTGCCACATCAACGAGGTCCTCCCGATGACGAACAGTGTGGCGAGAGAGTGGAGCGACACCCCCCTCCTGCCTGCTGCTGCTGCGTGGGGGCATCACGGGCGCAAAGGTGCTGAAGCAGCTCATGAAGCTGGATCTGATCAAGGTGCTGCATGCGCTGCTCATGCGCATCAAGATGAAGTGCGGCACCAACGACATCACGCAGGAGCAGACCAGCGCGCTGGTGGACTCTATCGCCTACAAGGCGCTGGACGAGTATGTGTCGTCGGATCGGCCGCAACGTAAGATGGGTGCACACACATCACACACACACACACACACACACACAGATCGGCTTATTCCTGCTCTGTTTGCTATCAGTTGGCGGTATGATGCGGCGCGAGGTGCAGGAAGCCCCCAATGCCAGGCAGGACAACACCGATGACCAGCCCATGGCCGCCGCCACTGGTCTCGCCGGCGTCAAGCGCAGCCACGACACCATGACGAGCTCGGCCGCCCCGTCAGCTGACGTGGGCATGTCGGCTATGGCCGACAGTGCCCCCGTGGCGCCCGTGGGTTCGAGCGGTGCCCTCCTGTCAGGTGAGACAACACACACATGACATGCACATGACGACCACAGCGTACCATTCTATTTTTATTTCTTTTCTGTCTGCTGTCAGGTCCTTCAAGTGCTGCGTCTGGCCCTCTCCCTCTCTCCCACCCGCTCCCATCCCCCCGTCTCTGCCGCACACACAGGCGGCCGCCACGGCCACCACCACCATGACAGCCCCGCCGCCCCGCCCCCGTCCCCCCGTCAGCATCAAGGTGCGAGTGGCCGAGATGAAGATTGGACTGGAACTCCCTGCCGGCGTGACCTTCACGTTGCCGGGAGGGAAGCCGGAAGGGATGCCGGGAGGGATGCCGGGAGGGACGGCCGAGCGGGGGGACCAGAACGGCCTCATGCAGGTCGGGCAGCAGGGCGTTTCCCTGCACTCCCACAGGACCACGCACGGCTGCCACGCCAAGGCCCGGCAGGATCTGCTGGCAGAGAAGGGCATCATGGCCGAGATGCAAGACACCACAGGTGACGGCGATACCACACCTACACCCACCCACCCACCCCCCTCCCCCACACCACACATCCACCGATCGATCCTTCCACAGAGACTCACTTGTCTGTTGTGTGTTGTGCAGCATTCTTGCAGTTTGTTTGCAAGGATCTCGACATGGACGTCACCCTCGCCAACCCCACGCCCCACGGCCCAGGCGGCACCGAGGACGAGGGCACGCTGCGCGTGTCCAGGATCGACACCAACACCAACACCCTTTTCGTCATTGGCGACGTCGAGCACCAGCTCGACTCCACCCTCGACGCCTACGAGCTGCCGTTGGGCTTTGGTCTGGGTCGCGCCCTCAAGGAGGCGGCAGCGGCCGACCCACAGAGGAAGGGCCGGTGCGTGTGGTGCATGTGTCGGCGGACGTCGAGGACAAGAAAGGCCTGCTCAGGTCCGAGGGCTATTACGACATCATGAGCATTGGCGGCGAGTGGTACGGGCGCACATGCTGGGCCTTCTCGGACGGCAGGAGGGTGCTCGAGAAGGTGTCGAAGAGCAACAGGCAGGGAGTGCTCAGGGTCAGGCCCCTCAGGCTGATTCCCGTCCAGCAGCCGACTCCCGACGGGCAGCCGTGCGCCCCAGCACCCCCCTCCATCCACCAGCCTGCCAGCAGCAGCAGGGAGGAGGGACGAGAGGGCGAGGAGGAGGAGGACGATGACAACTCGGGCGGGAAATTCTCAGAGGGTGAGGAGGATGAGGATGAGGATCTCTGAGCATGGTCAAGGAGGGGGAGGGAGGGAGGGCGGGCGGGCGGCTGCTGGTGCTGTGGTCGGCGGGCCGTCTTGAGTCGGTGAAGCTCTCTGTTGCCGTCCTGTGCCTGCTGTTGGGTAGGTATGTACCCGGCTGGATGTCCGTGTGTGTGTGTGTATGGCGTCGCACATATGGGGGTGTGGTCTTGGTGGTGGGTTGCTTGCTGTGCCTGCCTGCCTGAGTCAAGGGCTGACCAGTAGCTTGATGGATGGATGGATGGGTGGGTGGTTCATCCATCAGACCAGACAGACACCATCTGGAGCGTGCCTGACAGATAGTCATAAAGACCATGATGGCCTACTCACGCTCCCACCCACCCACACACTCTCTCTCTCTCTCTTTGCCTGTTTCCTAGAAGGGCTGTTTGCCGCATCATGCCGCATCATGGCGAACGGGTGAATGGACGGACGCTGTTTCGCGCTTGGTGTAGGGGCCGTACCATGCGCTTGGTCGCGTTGTGTGCATTTGTGCTTTGGCGCTTTTCTCTCTGCTAGCCCCCTTTCTCCCGATCTGTTTGTCTGACTGTCTGCCTGTCTGCCTGTCTGACTGCCTGCCTGCCTCATTCACTCATTCACTCACTCACTCATTGCTGTAGCTGGGGGTATGGCCGCCGACGATGTCGCTTGCATGGTGCTCACATGGCCAGGCGCCCCACACAAAGCCGTTCGGTGTGCGTGGCGCATGGTGAATGTGGCTGCTCATAGGCCATCCCCATGTGTGTATCATGCCTGCGGCCCTCCCTCCCTACGTGTCTGCCAGTCGGTCGACACCCAGTGGACATGGTGTGTTGTGTGCTGATTGACCACTCACTTACCGCGGAGCTATGCTGCGGGGCGATGGGTGCGATGGGAGGGCAGCCACGGGGGGCTGTGCGTGGAGGTTAGTGATGGAGGGGTCAGCGAGGCTGGTGGGTGGGTGGGTGGGTGAGCGGGGTTTGCTGTCCGGGCGGCTCAGTGGTGGGTCGGTGCGATCGGCCTGGTGTGTGTGTCACGGTGTGCGCGTGAGAGAGAGAGAGAGTGACACTAAGGGCTGCTGCTTTTCTAAACGTTTAAGTGTTTCTTACCTACAGTATGCGAGCAGAGAGCGACACACGACCGACCCGACCCGACCCGACGTGGACCTGCCGGGTGTATCGTGTGTGCGTGGGTGCAAGTGTGTGTGTGTGTGGCCAGGCCAGTGTTGCTCGCCCTGTGTTTTGGTGGTGCCGCCTTTTCGCATTTGTGCAGTTGCCTGCTGATCGTTCCCTCCCCTCCCCAGCTCAGCTTGTCGATCTATCAGCTCTAAGACTTATGCCCTTTATCCATTCTCCTTTTGCCTTTCCTCTGTTTGCCCATTTCATGATCGAAACGGTCAAGTCGCTCTGTGCGTGTATGCCTGCCTGCCTGCCTGCCTCGCTCACTCATTCACTCACTCACTCACTGACTCATTCACTGGGTATCATGCCTGCGGCTCTCTCTGCTTGTCTGATCTCCTTCTGGTGGCCGGTCATGGTGTCTGGTTGGTCGACAGTCTTGGTCAAGGAGACGAAGGGAGGGAGGGGTGTGTGTCGTGTGGTGTCGGTGAGGCTCTCTGCCGTCGTGTGCCGACTGATTGGGGGCGAGGGACGAAGGATGGATGTGCGTATCTGCCTGGCTGCCCGTGTGTCTGTGTGTGGCTGTATGGCCGTTCACGTGGCGCCACACATGTGGGGTCTCGTTTTCGTGGTGTGGATCGGCTGGGCGTTCTGCGCCTCTGCCTGCGTCTGCCTGACTCAAGGGGGATCAAGGATGGATGGATGGATGGATGGTATGACAGCCACGTGCCCGACCGATAGCTATACAGACCATGATTGCTCACTCACCAAATGCCTGTTTGCTTGTAGGTACTGAGTGGCTGGGATGGGAGGGAGGGGAGAGGCAGGCTGCAGAAGGGCTGCTTGTTGCGTCATCGCGGTGCGTCATGGCGGATGGAGTGCACACACATTCACAGAGCGCTGTATGTGCAATGGATGGATCGGCAGACGGACGGACGGGTGCTGTGTGGGCGGATCGATGCGGTTTTCTGTTTGCTGCCGTGTGCCTGTCGCCGTGGAAACGGCATAGAGGGGCACCTGTGACGCGACAGCAGGGACATCAACGGCTGCTGTGTTGTGTGCCTGATGCCCTTGGTGCGGGTTTTGGATGCGGCCCCCTCTCCCCCTGAGTCTTGCCCGTATGCCTGCCTGGTGCCATAGGCCGTCAGACTCATACACACAGACATGAGTGTCCATCCGCCTCGATCGACGGTCCATCCTGTCTCTTTCTTTTGCCTTTGTCCTCCTGTCTGCCTGTTGGTGCCCTTCATGTCATGGCAGCCTGACGTCGTCTTTTGCGGCCTTTTTCCTATTGCCTTTGTGTGTGTACTCCCACAGAAGCACATCATTTGTGTCTTTTGTTGATGGGACCGGGGCGTTAACTAACGCACATGTGCCCATACGTATGCATCTATATTTGTCGGCACGCTCTATACGAGTACACCACCCCATGCCCTTTGCGCACATGCCCGTGCCCGTGTTTGTCTTGTTTCTTTTTCTGTATAGGGTCGCTGCTGTGCCGGCGGTCGGTCGACCGTCTTCTTCCTCTGTCTGTCTGTGTGTGTGGTGGGTGAGCAAGAGCACCTGACGCACACACAACACACACACACACACACTCATATGGGAGACAACAGAGGAGTGCCGTCTGTGTGGGCGTTTTGCCATGAGCGTGTGGGCGCTGGTGGCATGCAGATGGACGGGCCGTGGGGCCACACACACAAAGGGCCCCTGCTCCGCTGTTTTGGCGTTTTGTGTACTGAAGGGGACGGCTGATTTGACGGGATGGGGCGGGAGAGGTCGGTACGGTGCCTGTGCGGAGGGCAACGGGTTCATATCTGCTGGCTGGGAGGGCTGTGGCCGAGCAGTCCGTCTACTGTACGTGTGGATTGCGACCGACCGATGCGCCCACAGTCATGGGTCATGGTGTTTGCATGGGTCCACCCGTCGGGACTGCATATCTCTCTACCTGTACAAGTAGCACTGACTCTCACCCAAGGAAGTGGGAGGGAATTTGCGTTTTGCCCGACCGACCGCCCGCCGCATTGCCTTTTTATGCAATCCAGGCCGACAGCAGCCATAACTTTGCGCTGTGATTTGATCTCCTTCATTGGCCATCACTTGCTCCGATTGCCTGCCTGCATTCCTTCGTGTGCGTGTCTGCGTGTGCGTGTGCACCCCATGTGCCGACCTGTTGAATTAAGGACTCTGTCTGTCTGCCGTGCCTGTTTCATGTTGACACGTGCCTGCGGCCTTCAAGTCTCTCTTCGTTTATGTGCGTCTGTCGGTGGTGCGTTGATGAAGGCAGCGGGCTGAGAGGTGACTCTCACGCCCGCGTGCCTTTGTCGACACATCACCACAAACCTGATGCCCCGGTGCCTCCGTGTGTGTGTGTGTGTGTGTCCTCTTTCCTTCTCTCCCCTTTCTCCCCATGTGTCCATCGAAGTGGTTTAAGATGCATGCAGCCCTGCTGTTTGTTGCCTCTATCGATTGGGAAGTTTTAATACGACGGGCGATTGACTTTATTGAGAGCAGGCCCGGCCGCCTCGTGCAAAGCACATGGCTGGCCCGGACTGAGGTCTTTTCTGTTTCTTTCGTCTGGCCGTGTGTGAAATAGGAAGCGAGAATCACAGCCAGCTTATCGACCACCCAGTCACTTCGTCTGTTCGTCTGTCTGCCTGTCTGTCTGTCTGTCTGTATTGCCCTCACCTCCCACCGCACACCCAAGCCCCTCTGACTGAACAGACAGACAGACAGACAGACAGCCAGACAGCCAAGGCAAGCCAGGTCGAGTTGAGCTAAGCCCCCTCTCTCCCTCCCTCCTCCCTTCTTACTACACAGATGATTTCACGTGCGTACCGTCTGCATGTATCCAGACGGTACGCACGTGAAATCATCTGTCTGTCTGTCTGTCTGCCTTGCCTGTTTTGTGTTGACACGTGCCTGCGGCCTTCAAGTCTCTCTTCGTTTATGCGCGTCTGTCGGTGGTGCGTTGATGAAGGAAGCGGGCTGAGAGGTGACTCTCACACTCGCGTGCCTTTGTCGACACATCACCACAAACCTGATGCCGCGGTGCCTCCGTGTGCCCATACGTGTGTGTTGGACATATATTCCAGGCCTATATGTCCAGTATGTTCATGTGTGTGGATGTGATGTGATGACAGTGAGGCGCTCCGTCAGCACGGCTGGCTGGATGCGATGGATTTCGTTGATACACGTATGGATGGGGTGCATGCAAAGCACGTCGTCCCCCTCCCCCTCTCTCCCTTCTATCTATCTACGCTGCCGTGTGTGTGTCTGTTCTGTCTCCTTCTCTCCCCTCTCTCTCCCTATGTGTCCATCGAAGTGGTTTAAGGTGTGCATGCAGCCCCGCTGTTTGAGGCCTTTATCGATTGAGAAGTTTTCATGTGACGGGCGACTTTGTTGAGAGCAGGCCCGGCCCCCACGCGCAAAGCACATGGCTGGCCCGGACTGAGGTCTTTTCTGTTTCTTTCGTCTGGCCGTAATGCACGTCGTCCCCCCCCTCTCCCTCCTGTCTATCTACGCTGCCTTTGTCTTCTCAATGTACGTACTCCCTGTCTATGTGCCCCTTAAGGGATTGGTCGTGCGTCGGTGGTTGGGCATGTGCGTGAGAGCTGTGCTCCCCGCCCCACCAGCCATCCATCGACGCACCAACCAATCCACTTGCCTTTTATCCAGTCAGAATATCTTCAATAAGACGATGGCCGACTGTGTTGTGCATGTGTCTGTCGGTGCAGCGATCCTCTTTGCGACTGACTGGATGGGTGCACACAGTTGTGTTCGCCCTCCTGGTCCGCAAGAGATGCGATGCACGACATGACACACGCACGCTCAGATGGCCGATACGTATCAAACGATCAAAGGGAGAGAGACCGTATCGATGGACCTACATGTAATGCGATGTGAAAGCAGAGTTCTCTCAGTCAAGAGCAGCCACGCACTCCCTCATAAGAATGCATCATGATAAAATAAGTGGATGGCTGAGCACCTTGTCACTGAGGCGTGTCGACAGACACAAAGATAACACACAGACAGACACAGAGCCATATCGACTGGATATGTACACTGGCACAACACACATACACAGAGAGAGACCACAGAGAGAGGGGGCACTCAGGGCAGTGCAACGCAGCACGCAAATCCATCACCCCAATCAGTACAGAAACACTATCGATGACTGTCTGTCTGTGCAGCAGGGCACCAGCCGACCTAACAAAACGAACGGACAGCGCACCAGAAATCTTACACGCCTTTGCCGCGCGGCGACGGCAACACGGCGGCCAGACGGCGGAGAGCAGACCTCTCAGTTCGCCGGTCATCGACATGCACACGACGGCCGCACACACGGCCTGCGGAGGCAACGGAGCACAGCGACGGCTGGCAAATGTGCCGCAACGGAGAGAAGCCGCAAAGAACAAACGGATGGATGGATGGATGGATGGATGCCAGCCAGAGTGAGTGCGTCTGCGTAGCGTAGCGAACACACCACAGCTCAGATGGGGGGGATCAGTAGGCGGCGGACGAGGGCCGACGCAGCGATGCATGTGAGACGGAGCCAGGTGCTTACACACACACATTTAGCCAATTCAGCCACCCACAAGAAAGAGCCGCCCGCCCTGCTGACTCACTCAGTGACGGAGGAAGGGAATAAACGGACAGAAACCGCCGCAACGGAACCAAAAGCCGGCGGGCCGTCTGTGTGTGTGTGGATGAGTGTACTGTAATGCCATGTGTGTGATGTGAAGACGTGTGTGTGCATCCAGCCAGTAACCGCTGTCTGTCTATCTGTCTGTCTGTCTGTCAGTCAGTGTGCAGCCGAGAGGTCAGGTCGACAAACAAACAGAGCCCTCAGTGGGCAGCAAGTAGTAGGCAGAGTGCACAGGTGGCTGGCTAAGTGTGTGTGTCGCATGGCCATCCTCCTGCACCTATCACACAGAGAGAGTAGTGGTGTGTATGTCCTTAGAAAAAGTCATCGCACGAGTCAGTCAGTCAGTCATGGAATCAACCGCCCACCGCCCACCGCCCACTGAGCCGTCTATCTCTCCACGAACAAGACCGCCGCACGAACACACACGAGCCATCCAGCCCCCAACACACTGACGCAACACGCAGCCCTCCAGCCATCCGCCCGCACCTCCCCGCCGGCCATGGCAGCTTATGCAGGGCCCTTGGGGTACTCCACACCCGCCCAACGCTCCACCAGCAACTCTAGCAGGTCCACCGCCCTCTTGGCCCTCTCCCTCGTCCGCCTCCCGACCTCCACCGCCATCACCAACTCGGCCACGATTATGGCGGCCGCCTGGGTGAGGGAGAGCGGCGGCCTCTCCTCCCGCATCTCCAGCAGTGTCTTGACGACGGCCTCGTTGTCGTGTGGGGCGGCGGCGGGGAAGGCGCGCTGGCGCCTCTCCTGGTCGATGCCGTACCAGGCATTGATGCCGTCGCGGATGACCGCCAGCCTCTCGCTGAGGAGGCGCTCCTCCCGGACGGTGCCCTTGGAGGAAATGCCGTTGAGGATGCTGTCCTCATGATCGCTCCTCTCGGTGGCCCAGACGGCCCGCCGCTGCCACGCCCGCCTCTTCACCGGATTGCTGTCCGGCTTCTTGGCCACCTCCTCGTCCACCGTGTCCCGCCACTGGCGCATGGCTGTGGCCCTGAAGGCGACCTCCGGCACCCCGTCCTTGACGTCGTTCGGCAGGACCTCATGGCAGGCCAGCATGGCCAGTGCCGTGCCCGCCACAGTCCACAGGTCATCTGCCGGCTGCCAGCCCGGGTAGGCCCAGTATTTGTGGGCCCACTCGCCCACGGCTGTCGGGCTGCTGGGGACGCCGGTGGACGTGCGAGAGGGGTCGATGAAGGCGGGCGGCTCCTGGCTGAGCTGGTTGATGATGGCCGTCTCGTATGCCACCGCCTTCGTCTTGCCCTCGAACGTCACCAGGCTCCCTTTCTCGTGGCCGGCAGCGTCGATGAGTGTGGCCACGGGCACCACCATCTCGCGACGGCCGCCGCCCACCGACGCGCTGACCTTGACAAACCCGACGAGGATGTTGTCATAGGTCGCGTCGGTGGCGACGTACGTCGAGCTGAGCGGCAGCGTCTCGGCCATGCTGACAGCGCTGGCAGTGGGGGACATCGTGGCGCGGGCCTTGGCCACCTCAAACACACTAACCTGAACAACACACACACAAACACACATACATACACACAATTCACCCATCCATCCGTCAGTCCCCCCATCTGTCTGTCATTCTGTCTGTCTGTCTGTTTCGTGTCTCACCTTATGCATAGCCATCGTTTTCATGAGGAGGTCGATGACGCAAAACACGGCGCCCACCTGTCACTCCTCCTCACTCACACCCAGCTGCTGCACCATCGTCTCCCTGATGCGCCGGCCGTTGGCCATCGGTATCCCGGCAGTCTCTCTGGCGGCACTCGCGCCAGCTCCCAGCCGGTCGAGGACAGATGCCTCGCCCGGCGGGAAGCGCAGGACGCGCAGCGCCAAGAAGCTGCCGTATGGACGCAGACGGCCGTCGGTGGCGTTGTGAAGGTCGCGCACCACCACCACTTCCTCCTCCTCCCGCTGCACCTGCTGCTGTGGCAGCTCCTCCTCGCCGTCTCCACTGCAGATGAACAGGGAGTACGCCGGGCCCCCCAGCGTCAACAGCCCCTGGGCGCGCCGGTACTCGCCCCTGAAGGCCTCCATGATGGCCGGCTGGATGAAGGGGGGCACGACGCCCTTCTGTTGGGCCAGGGTGGCGGTGTCGGCAGGCGTGTCTGCGGGGGGGCTGCTCGCCTTGAGG